TAAATTAGGGTTTTACAGGAAACGTCAACTCAACTTTGACCAAGCATAACTTTCTCATACTTTATCAAAAATGACCCATCCAAAGCTCATTTTTAAAAGGATGTAATTCCCTACAATTCATCTTCATATCCCAAGTTCAAAATATGCACCCACAAGAAGATATGATTTTGGACATTATAGGTCATATTGAAAAGTGCACAAAAACACCTTTTAGGTCAAACATTCATACATGAACATGGAAGAATCAATTGAGATAAGACCAAAAGGGTTGCTTCTAAGACATCCTAAGCTTTCTAAAAAGTCCAAGAACACATCTCTAGGGTCAAAATTGAGAGAGTTATGCATTGGCCAAGTTGACCCTTTTTGCAAAATTACCAAAAGTCAAATGTGTCCAAAATTGCATTTTTTTTCTAAATGGGCCGAACTTTTTATGCTTGCACTGAGTTTGTAATGTGATCCACGACCCATGAGCCCCTCCACTTGTCATTATTTTATTTTTGTTATTTATTTTGATTTTATTTCATTTAAATCAAATAAAATCAATATAAAATAATGAAAATATCAAAAATCAATTAAACCTTGAGATTTTGTGCATGATTAGAGTCATTATACAGCTGTAGACAAGATCAAATCGTGCAAGGCTTCATATGGACAGAAAAAGATTGAAAAAGATTGTTTTGGAAAGATTTGGTGCAAGGAATAAGTCATTGATCAATCTTCATAAATGGCAAAGATTGGATGCAAACTTTAACCCTAATGCACTCTATTATAGATAGTGAATAAAGGCAGACCAAAAAGGGAGAGGCTAGAGGCGTGCAAGGGCAGAGAAAAAGTTCAAATTTCTCAAAGAAAAGTGTTGACCAAAACTTGCTCCACAGGCCGTTTCAAGCGTTTCAAAAGATCAATTCAGATTCTTGGATCACCCCTGAAGCCAACAGGATCGTTTGCAAGGCCTGGGACACTCAGAATCACCTTATAGCGTTCATACGGTTTGCCTATTTTCTTGAAATCGAATATATGAATTCTGGCATATTTAGCATGATTGATTGACATATTTATAATCTTTGAGATGTTTGCAACATGACACTATAATTCAATTGCATTTTTAACGCCTGTATGTGCAGATGCCATGGCTAGGGTTTTTTTGTTGTTTTTAGGGGTTTCTTATACAGGAGAAATTAGGCATTGATAATGGTACCATGATGCCCGTGAGGTTGAAACGAGTTGATTGGTACCATTAGGTTTCATTTATCATGCACGTACATGATTTTTGAAATATACAGGGGCTATACATACGCTTGATGCCTGTAGGTAAAAGTTACAAAACCTAACACGACGATTGAGAGGAAGACGACAATACGTGGCGCTCCCTGACTTGCCAGTTTGAATTTCGCGCGTTTTAAAGTTTAACATTTTGTTTTCATTATATAATATTTGTTTATTATTGTATATACAACTAAATCAGCCAGCTCAGTTGGCAAGCGTGCAAAGGAAGAATGCATAAGAACCTGAGTTCGATCCCCAGGTCCCATATTTGCTTCATATTATTTTTTAATGAAGGATCAGGTACGCCTCACGCCCCAACATCCACCATGTGCTACCAGGATCTGACCATCCAATCCACAAATGCTTCAGATCCAACGCCTTCCCCCTGGAGGACCACCATGCGCCTCAGTCAAACGTGCACACGGGATTGGGCAAAGTCAAGAAGGCCAAGAGTTTGTTGGGCCAAGAAAATCAGATTCAAACCCCCCACATTTGCTAATGCAGGCCCATCTCTTCACTTTTTTTTCTTCTTTTTTTATTCTTTTAATTATTTTGCTTAATTATTTTTAACAAAATTAATCTTTTTTTCACAAAATCATAAAATCAAGAGTTCACAAAAATTAGAATTAGTTTTTATTTATTTATCAAATTTAATTTAATTTAGTTTAATTTAATTTAGGGAAATTCTAACTTTTTTATTTATAATTAAAGCCAATTAGAAAAATTAGGGTTAGACTCTTAATTTAATTTTTATTTCTTTCTCAAAATAAATACAAAAAATAGGTTGTTTAGAACTAGTTAATTATTTTTCTTAAATTTAAAATTAATTAGAACCTTTGGATTGTCTTATTTCTAATTCAATTATCTCATTGCTTTCTCAATAACAAAACATGACAAAAAGTGTTTTTTCTTTAATCAAGTACACTTAGGTTTAGTCAAGGGTAAAAACCCTAATTATCTTGTATTCGATTCATCGCGCGTGTTTATTATTTTTTTGCAATATTGATGTAACTGTCCACGGTATGTAATAGTTTAATCTAGGACTTTCTTTTATTTATCGTCTTTTGCGGGTTTTTGGCTATGTAATTAATCCCCTCCCCGAAGCCTTGTAATAGCGTAGGTTTACTTTCTCGCATTTTAATTCTCGCAAATATTAACTGCTTAGATGTATGTTGATAGGATTGTATGATAATTTTAGTACAGTTAGAAAACCCTAATGTGCAAAGATAAATAACTGAAACTAATCACTCGCACATATCACTCTTAGGGTATACTCTCACTTCGGTTGCCTTCGGTAAACGATCATTAAGTATAGGGTGTCTAAGTGGTTGCCCTCCTGTCTAAACAAAGATCAAATGTACCGTTCGGAAATGTTGCCTCGGAAATGTTGCCTCGGAAATGTCGCCTCGAATATGATCTTAAGACTTTAGGGTTATTACTAAGGCATCCTAATATTGCTTTAGTGATCGTATGTCTCTTACGAATTGACCCTTACAAATCCAACAACGGTGCTACTTATCTCTCAATAGTAGGATAGCGCTGTCTAAAGCAAACGAGAATAGAAACGATCTTTTTTCGAGTAGGTAGATGCTAGTAGGTACTTGCTCAAATAAAAACTTTTCACATTTACACTTTTTCAAACAAATTTTCAAAACAACTTCGTCACACCTTTAAGGACTGATACAAGGGTTATCACGAAGTAAAACCTTTTCAAAAACAAAGCACACACACAAGCAATTTAAAAAGATGAGCAAGTACCTAAGAGCCCATGGAAAACCATGGATAGAAAGGGTGCTAACACCTTCCCTTTCTATAATCTACCCCCCGTACTCATAATATCTCGAAAAAGGATTTTTTCTGTACTTTTTTCCTTTTCGGTTGGATGAAATAAAAGTCAGTGGAGACTCTTGCTTACCGCGACATTTTGCGAATATAAAATGCAAAACGCAAACCAACATTTTCAAAACAGTCGGTTCTGCCACCGTATCACACCCTAAAATATGCAATGTGAAATTATACTTAAAAGTAATGAAAATACAATGCATTTTGAAAAGAGATTTAGAGTTTGGGGGTTGATTATGCAATGGGAAGGTATTAGCACCCAATGCACCTATAGTATCCTATAGGAACCTTTTGAAATATCCGTTTTTTGGTTTAAATTGTTTGTTTGATTAAAATGGTTCGTTTGGCTAAAAAATGGGTATGGACGAGATTTTGAAGATACGACAACCTAATGTCGAAGTTTTGACTTAAAATGTGTGAGTTTTAAAATTGGAGTCTTTTTTAGGAAAATTATCTTAGGTTTAGCAAAATAGTAAACAAACAAAAGATGAATGAGGATATTCACACGATTGGATGAGATGTGTTTGATGACGTGAAGTCAACAAAGTTAAAACATTTCCCTTGGATTTGAGAGGGACGAAAGATTTAAACGATCGAGAATAAAGTTAAATAGAGCGACAATTGAACAAAATTCAATAAGAGATTAATTTATAAGCATGCATTTTAAACGATTAAATAAATAACCAAAAGTACATAAAGACTAAATTACAATAGCGTGTATTTTTTAACAATTAAACAAATAACACAAATTAAATAAAAACCAAATTATGAAACATGTATTTTTTGAATAATTAAATAAACAACAAATATTAAATAAAGGCGTGTTTTTTGAATAATTAAATAAACAGCAAGAATTAAATAAAGGCGTGTTTTTTGAATAATTATCAATAACAACAAACAATTAAATAATAACATGTAATGAAATAATTAAATAAACAACAAAGATTAAATAAACATGTTTTTTACTGTATTTTATAATAATTATAAACATATAATAACAAGATAGAATATGGAGGGGATAATGCTAAAAGAATTGAAAAAAACATCCTAGCCTGGATCTGAACTCGTGTCCCCCCTGAATTGTTGTAAACTGTCTTGCCAATTGAGCTAGATTACTATTCTATTATTACCATGCTTCTATTAATAAATAAGGTGATGATGGTAACGTGATTAGGCCAAAACACCCAATGGGGCCGACCCGGTTTAGAAAAGACAAGGAAATGTTTTTTGAAACCCTAGAGAAACAAGGAAAGGCGCCGCTGGTGGCTTAGCATTGGGAAGGAAAAATAGATTTAATAATTATTATAAATAAAACTATGCTCTCTATGTTTAACCGTGAAAGAACAAAAATATCACTTTCTCTACCCTATTTACAAATTCACATCTTCTATCCTTGTTGATTTCGTTGCCCACACATTGTTGTTCTTTCTTCGATTTCTTCACAGCTCTGTTTGTCGGCATGTCTCCGCTTGGCGCAAACAACACTTCTGTAACAACATTCTCAAGATTGACCTCTTTGGGTTGAAATTTTGTTGATTTCCGATTATCAAAACCTCTTGATTATTCAAAGTAAAAGACCTGTCTCCAGATTTGAAGGGAACCTTGCTTCGGATTCAATAAGCTCTGCCTTCTTCTTGATTTTTCAGGTTCAGGTTTTTCTCGCATATGTGTCGCGATTCCGTTGCTGAATCATGAGAATAATGACGATGAAGATGAAATTGTTATCGCAGATTTGTAGGAGTTACCTGCATGAAAATAAAATACCGTTTGAAGGTGGTTGCAGTAGATCGAAGGAGGTAACTCAGGGAGATGATGATGAATAACTTCTCAGAGAGTTTTTCTTGTCTCTTCAAGAATGGTGAAACATTGCAGAGATTTAAAGATGATTGAAGATGGAAGGTAGCATATGCAAAAGAGATTTGCAGAGGAGGGTTTTGAGAGGTGAGCTTCTCTTCTTTGAACTTCCATAATGTTCTAGAATTTACATTCTTTAGGTGTTTATGCGGCAGAGGCTTCTTTGCCTAAGGAAGTTGTTGATCACTTGTCGTATTATTTATCAGGAGGAAACAAAGTTGAAATGCCATTCAGCCGAAAGGACCGTGAAAAATCACAAGTGGAAAGGACTGTTGAATTTAAGGAGGTAAATATTGGATCCACTGCATTTAGAGAATTTACTGATGACCAGGTACATCAAAATCCAGCTATAAGCCATATGATGCATCGAGTCTGTCCAATTTTTTTGTCTTACTAACCATCATGAAATGTCCCCCTTATATCAGCTGCAAGGCAAAGTCACAACCCTTTTCACCATATAATTATCGAGACCAAACTTCTGATCCAAATAACCCTGCATTTATCTAGTTCCAGATTTGCACCCAACTGTCAAAACAAAATCCTAACTGCATCCTCAATCACATAACTAACTCCAATCAATAACATATTCCATCCAAAATAATGGTTCCAATACTTCCATTTCCTCATAAATATAGCTTTATGCTGCAATTTCTTCGAGTTCGAGACAAGTGTGAAGGAAATGGAAAATAAAAAGAGAAAGGGAATTGGGTTGATGGTTGTTCTATGAATCGTGGAAGATGGTTGGTTTGGATTTTGATTCTGTTTGGTTTGGGGAAAAGGTGAGTATGGTTTTGAATTTGAAAGTGGTGGTTCTGGTTTGATAAAGATTACAGCAAAGTGGCCACTGTGATGGTGAGTAACCATCTTGTTTTTTCTTTTTCTTATCTTGTGTTATGTTGTTGATGTTAGTTCTTTGTCTTAAGAATGATGGTTTGGTGGGTGTTGAAGGAGTATATGCTACTGGTTGGAGATTGTTACAGTACAAGATGAATGTTTGCAGAATTCTGATCATTTACAATATCATTTAGGTGAAGGATGAATACTGGGCTGCAAGGGTTGCAGGTTCGATGATGGAGGAAGAAGCCTGAGGATACAGTGGGTGGTAAGGTTTTTCTTTTGTGAAAGAAATAATGGTTTGTACGTTGTTTTAACAGTAGTTTTGAAGTATATATTTTTTATCAATTAATTTATGTTATTACTATTATTATGATTCTAAGCATTTCTAGATGTCCACATATTGCAGCAGCTCAAAATACAGCAAAAAAGGTATAATGAAGCAAGCATTCACATGGCATAAAAATGGTGTAAAGAGAAGATTCAAACATGTGAATGAGAAAGTTATGCAGAAGTAAATAGGGAAGAAGAAATACCTATCGGAGGATCTCCAATGGAGCTTCAAAAAACAGTAAGTTCTCCCTTGATGCTCAAGCCCCTCTTTACTTTAATCCTTGCTTTTAAAACTTGGGCAAACTTCTCCTCTTTTCTGTTTTTCCTCTCCTTTGAGTTTTTTTTTGTGCTGAATTTTGTGTTTCTCTTGTTGTATCTCCTTTCTTTTGTGTTTTTTCTTCTATTCTCTTCATGAAGAGACCTCTATTTATAGTGAAATATGTGGGGTTTTAGGGGGGAAAATAGTAGAGATTTGAACTATTTTAGGCTCTGTTTTGATGTTTTATGAGACAACTTTTTGAAGTATGCATTTTAGTGCAATGTTTGGAGTTTTGTAGACTGATTTTTGTAGCAGCAAAGGTGCATATTTTTGTCTTATGGGCTGCATTTTGGACTGTTTTGCAGGGCAGATTAGGACAACAACTTGGCATGGTTTTTAACAAGGTTGGAGAAAATGGACAACATTATACTCAAGAATTGGACTGTTATTGGATTAAAACAGTGCTGGAAAAAATGGGCAGCATTGGGACTATTTTGTAGCAAGAATAATAGCTTGATTTTCATGTACAAAATTTGAATTTCTCTTGTAACTTTGTAACAATAAATCCAAGTAAATTGTAACATGAATGGATATGTATTCTTCAATATATTCTCAATTCCCTTGTAATTGTAAATAACTTTGAATCTTCATTTGAAATTGAACCTTGATATGTCTTGATAAAAATTCAAGGTCTTCCATTTGAATTGGGAAAGAATTGAATAATACTTGAATAAATTGTTGAATGATGAATAAATGATAATGCAATTCTTAGACTTTAATCTTGCATTTTGTAATAGAGATCCAAATAAATCACATGAATTGATTTTGTAATCAAATAGCAACTCTCATGTAATTAATCTTGTGATGAACGATTATTTGAATCGAATTTCTTTTTCTAATATCTCCTTAATAAATGCTTAATGTGTGTTCAAATAACCATAATGTAAATCCACCAAAATAATCACACAAAATAATCTTGAATAAATATTTTATGCGATACATGATTATTCTTGAATGAGATCTTGTGGTAGCTCCTCTTTAATTATCGCTTGAATTCAAATAAAGAAAATTCCAGGTATTCCGAATAAATTCTTCTAGAACGGTTTTGAATTTAATCATCCCATTTTGACGAAATTCACCCCGCGTCATGAGAAAACTTGCAGATGACTTTTGGTCGAAGTGATTGGAAATGACCGGCATAGCTTGTTTTTTTGTATTTTAAAGCAATGTGAAACACACATGAACCAATGGCAGTAGAATTTCGACTGTTCTTTCTGAAAAATTTCAGAGACGCTCGAGACCATCTGTTGGACAAAGTGTGGAAATAAACACACGACTCTCTGAAATTCTTTGATGAACCAGCCTTTGAGAATCAATGATCGACTGTATTGCTATCCTGAGACTCGAAACCCTAATTGATGTGTGACGCCCGATGCTCTTCTTTCAGACCTATTTCCTGCACATGAAATCAAAAAGCAAAGCATACACTTCGTGCTTGATTAGTGGTTAGTCATTCGTAAGATAAAATGCTCACAACACTCGATAATCTCTACACAGTCAAAGCTCGAAGGCGAAACGTTCGAAACCTGCCATATTTTGTGACCTTGAAGTTTGTATAAAACAATGCAAATGAAGTAGGGATCTTAGGTCAAAAATTGGGGTATGACAGGTGAAAGCTATGCAGAACAATCAAAATGCAATGATGAAACTTATGCTAGCTATGCAGACTCAGCAGCGGGAATATGACAAAAGAAATGAGCGTCGGGCTGCAAGATTGACCGAGGAAATGGCAGCCTTAACTGTACACACGGATTGTTTTTAAGAATATATATACCATGTGGGTATGCCTCATCCTTCGGGCGGACGTGGACGAGCATGAGGGCGAGGAAGAGGACGCGATAATTAGTAAGAATAGATTGATGTTTGCCTCTCTTCCTGTTTCCTCTTTGTTTTTAAGCATTGGGACACTACTTGTTTCAACCTTAGGGGAGTTAGTTAGTTTAGAAATTCTTTATTTCTTTCTAAGTAGATCTTTCATTCCCATATGTATTCCTTGTAATCAAAATATCTTTGTACTTTCGAGTTCGTTTATGCAAATTTTTTCACTATTATCTAATTTCCCCACTTTCTTGAGCCATAACAAAAAAATTGTTCGTTACTTGTATAACCTGACGCATTCGAAGAGTGTATAGGTTGCTCACTTTTTAAATTATATTAGAAACCTTGAGAAAAACAGGAGCACGATGGATACCGTCATAACACTCTAAATCCCCAAATTGCGCTAGATCGATTTCAATACCCTTTATACCGAAACCTTAAACTTTAGTTTTAAAGTAACCCCGAGCAGTTTATTTAGCAGTCAACACCGTCTTAAACATAAACTATGTAGGTAGTCGATGAATATAAGTGAATGATCCAAAGTATTTAAAAGATACATGCTTTACTATAAGAAAATGGGGAATGCACCAATTAAGTTAGGTGACCCTCACCCGGTCACTTAATCCAACGGATGCGGAACCTACACAATATAACATAGAAACCCGTTGTTGGTTGGTTAAGAGGTGTCTGATACTGAACTTAGTAGGGTGGACTACAGTCCGATCCCCCGCATCTTGCAATTTGGTGAATTAAAGGAGGTTACCGCATTTATGTTCCAGAACCTCATGCTTAAAAGGATCATAGTCACTAATCGGCTACTCTACTATGTGCGTGTAAAGATAAAAGGCTTAATGTGATGACGCTAGAATGAAAACGGGTGAAATTTAGCAAAAAGAATTAGGTTGAGCTATAATGGCATGATTGGAATTGGTCTGTACAGTGGGGGCGTTTAGTGTTATTACTGTATCTTTTGTGTTATGTTGAGCTTATGTTTCTGCAAAAACATTGGCAACCTCTTACGATTCGAAATGTATCATGTATTTGCATTTAACTTGTGCTCTACTGATTTTTTATACTAACTTTAGTGCTTGAGGACAAGCAAAGGTTCAAGTTTGGGGGAGTTTGATAACACGAAAAGTTATAGCATTTTCCGCTCGATTTATTTAGATAAAACTTACGATCCTTCGTTTATTATATCACATTTTATTTCTATTTGTAGTATTTGCAGCATATTTCAGGTACTTAGCTTTTGCGAAGCATAAATGAGAAAAGGAAGAAAAACAATGGAGAAATGAAGAACAAATAGCCATTTAGCAGCAAAAATCAGCATTATGTACCAGAAGGCGTGCCGCCCGTCACAAATTGTAAAAGTGTTCCCCTCAGAACACTTCATGTCCCGACTGGCACAGATTCAAGATGTGTGCCCACGTCACATCGTGCATGACGCTCGTGACAACCCATATAACTGTTAAGACATTATCTCCATAAAGCATACTAAACGCTCGGTTGGTGGATTCTTTTCCACGATTGAAGAACGAGGATCATGGGATCATTCCCATTTTTTCTCACCATTTGGAATTTATAAATTGAAGTCAGTTACCAAATTTGTGACTCTCTCGAGACCTGCACCAATTTTTATTGTTTCTTCTGCATACTACAACTTCGCTATTTTTCCAGTTTTACAGTTTTCGTTTATTATTCCAGTTTCATAGTTTTTGTTATTTTAATTTCCAGTTTTGTTAGAATTCCCTTAAGCATAGAGAACCCTCACCATTAAAGCAACATTTCTTCACATCGGAGGAATACTGCAACTTTAGTTTTCTTTCTAAGCTTCCAGAATTCGTTTAGGTTCATTTTTATTAATTCAAGACATTTTTATTCCGAAGTTAATTCTGTCGGCTTATGGAGGATACACACTGCTCAATTATTTGCTTCAGTATTTTATTTCAGGTTCCTATTTTAAGTATAATTTATTTATTTTTATAATGCATGTGTTATTGAATTTATGTTTTAATTTTATGTTATCGAGCAATAAAATTATGTCTGACTAAATTCCCCGATACCGGTATGTGAAGTCTTAAACCGAAGGGATTCGGTAATTAATTGGCATTAATATTTTACAAAAGCACTTTTCTGGTTTTGATTTCCAATTTGGATATTTGATTGTTTTTGTACGAGAGTAAAAGACATTCTAAGGTTAAAATCAATAGAGTGAGAGTTTGAGGTTTTAACCAGATAGTTGTAATTGAACATTAATTTTAAAAACAGCGAGAGCACTTTAAAATTAATTGGACTCTATTTGTTTTCAAAAATTACTTTTGAATTTTAAATGAAACATCAAGAGCGCTCATTTGAGTTTAATAATATGACCTGAATCGATAGAACGAAAGTGTGAGACAAGGGTTTTTAAATGAATAGTTTCCACTGAAACAGTGTTTTAATACTCAAAACAAATGCCAAAGACTTATTGAATCCCTGAAGTTGACAAGTTACATACCGGTGTCCCGTTATTAATTATTAGATTTTAGTCAATTCCCGTTTAAACCCAAACACCCTAATTTTATAATTAGCCTTAGCTTTACACAGTAATCCTAAGATAACAGTAGTTTGACCATCAGTCCTTGTGGGTTCAATATCTTTTAAAACTACGCGATTAGACTGTGCACTTGCAGTCACTACACCTGGCAGACTCATAAAGTCGCGATCATACACCAGACGGATTAACTATGTAAATATCACTTCATAAATATTTTTTTTATAGTTTCTCACATTTACAAAGAAGAG